AAAGGAGTGCTTTTCCAGGGAGAAGGCATAGGAACTCCCGATCATCTGCGGGGCCTATTTCCGCCAATATCTAACTTCCTCACAGCCTGTTGCCCATCGCAGGATAACCCACATTCCATCGCCCGCAGGTTATTCCCGGGCCTGCCATAAGCATCACCTGCCCGTTAGGCCGGCAGGGTTCTAAATAGACCCCTTCCTCCTGGGTTCTCAGGACATCTGTTCAGATGTGCTCATTAGGTTGCCCTTGATGCCACTCCCATTTAACCCTCACAGTGAAACTTCTGGATCTCTCTCTCTCTCTCTCTCTCTCTCTCTCTCTCTCTGTTTTTGTTTTTTGAGACAGGGTTTCTCTGTGTAACAAACCCTGGCTGTCCCGGAACTGACTATGTAGACTAGGCCTGTCCTCGAACTCACAGAGATCCTCCTGCCTCTGCCGCCTGAGTGTTAGAATGTGTGTCACCACCGCCCTGGAATCTTCTGGGTCTTGGGACTCCACCTTTAAACATTAAAATTTTCCTATCTGTATCTCCTGTCTCTCCTACGATCTTACGCTTCCACTCTTGTAAGATTACATCCATCTCTATCATTTTTGCTTGTATGAATTTGTACTGGTGGGCTGACCACTCCAGAGCTGAGGTTGCTACGGGTCATTTGCGCAAACCCAGAACCCAGCATGTCTCTTAGCTATAGGGGGACAACCCTCAGCTATTAGCTCTCTGGATTGCAGGAATTTCCCAGCTCATTTCTTGATCTCCATTTTCTCTCCCTGAAACCAATCCTCCACACTTCACACATGATCTTTCTTCTGTGCAAAATTAATGTGTTTCCCTTTCTTTAAATCTTTCAAGGATATACCACGGAGAAGATCTGCAACTTGCCTCACACTTGCCCTGCCCCGCCCCGCCTGCCCCTCTAGTCTGTTGTACCACATCTATTCCATCTTTTGCCCCCCACCCCAGCTTTGCAGAGCTACCTACAGATCTTCTGAACACTCTGTGCTCTGGTTCAGATATCTCCATGCTCTGTGATAACCACTACTCATTGCTATTCATCCCTCAGGGCTCTGGCAAGGCTCCACTGTTTTTTTCCCTATCCTGTTACTGGGTTTGCTGTCTCTGATTTTCTCAGTTCCTTACTCTCTTCTGATCATGTGTGTTTTCACTATTTAAATATTTCTTTTCTTGGAAGGCAGCTCGTCTGTATCTAGTCACCAACATAGGTCTACCATGAAGGAGCTATCACTGGGATAGCGGACAAGAGGCAAGCCCTGAGCCAATAAAGAGCTGAGGAAATGCTCTAGTTGAATCTAGGATATCCACTAAAGGCCCTTGTGTTAAAGGCTTGGTCTCTGACTTACTTCTATTGGGAGGTGATAGAACATGGAAGAGGTGGGACCTAGTGAGAAGTCTTCTGTGCCATCACAGACCTAAAGCAATGAGGCCAACCAATTATAGACTCCAACCTCGAGCCAAAAGAAAGCTGTTCATTTCAGGGATGAGCTACCATAACGGAAATCTTGACTAACACAGGGACAATCTAGGATACAGGGACACATAGATTTCTGTTTCAAGTTTTAACTGGTTTCTTATAGGTTATATTATTAGAAAAGTCTGGAGACCATGAATTCTGCCTTGTACAGTTGCCACGGTGGTAAACTGACATCATGGTTGAAATGAGTTAGACACTAGGCGGGAGTCACTAGGAATCCAAACCATAAACTAATGCACTCTGCCTAGTTTGGTGATTTATTTTATTTTTTTTCCAGTTTTGGGGACTGAATCAAAATAGTGCCTCAAATATGCTAAGAAAGTGCTCTACTACTGAGCTACACCTCAACACCTTTCATTATTTTAGTTTGAAACAGAGTCTAGCTAAGTTGAACCTTGAACTTGAGTCCAACCTGGTTTCAGCTTGCAGTTTGTCCTGTTTCGGCCTCCTGGGTAGCTGGGAGTGTCCAGCTTCCAGTGGTTTTTAAAGTGAAGCATATTTGCCTAGGATGGCAGAAAGAGCAGGAGGTGCACAGGCAGTTTTCAGTTTCGTGTCCTGCCAATTTCACTTTCCAAAAACACAACCAGGGAGTGTTTAGCTTTAATGCTGAGAGAATGCTCCTTTTCAACACAACTGGATTGTAACAGGTCCCTCAATATACCATTCCATATTACTCCACTATGCTCTTTGCACACAGTATTGCCTTTATTTAGAATATCCCTCTTCCTTGTTCACCAAGGGAACTTCTATTCCTTTTCTGAAATGTGGGTTGGTCATTACCCCCTCTGTGAGGCTTGTGATTTTCCTCTCATGTGCCATCTTAAAAACTCACTTACTCCCTTTTCATCACATTTAAACACCAAGCCAGAATGAAGGCAAGGACACTGGCTGTGCAGAAGTGGTACCAGAAAAAAACATCTGAACAAAGGAAGGCTAAGGCAAGGTCTTTGCTTTGGAGGAACTCCAAGTTAGTGAAGAGTCAGATTCATTGTGATAAATCAAATGTGGTCACCATTTGTTGCAGGTTTTCTCCAGAACAGCATTTCCTTCCCCCTTGATTAAGGGCTGGCTTTGGGTCTTGCTTTGCCCAATAGAAAGTGATGGAAACGATGCTGTATAACTTCCAGTTTCATCCTAATATAATTAACTTCCAGTATAATTGTGGTTTCAAGAAGCCTTGCAGCTTTGGCCACTGTCTTAGTGGGATACTACCTAGAATCTGCTAAGAAAAGGTGAAAGGTAGGCTGGAAATGTAGCTGAGTTACTAGAGTGGTTGCCTAGTATGCATGAGGTCCTGGGTTCAATCCCCCTTGTTCCCCAGTCTCAAAGAAAGAGAAGGAGGGGGAGGCAGAGGGGATGTATTGTAGACAGGACAGGAACCAGGAGCGGTATAACTTTGAACGTGATGAAGCCAGTTCTGCATGAGCTTCATGAGTAAGGGGTGGCAATGAGGACTCTATATCCTACCACAAAGACACATACACATCCATGTTTATTGTTGCATTATTTATAGTAATTAGAAAATGGAACCAGCCTAGCTACCTATCAACAAGAATGGATAATGAGGGGTTGGTGAGACAGCTTAACAGTTAAAAGGAATTGCAGAGGATCCAAGTTCAGTTCCCAGCTCACAACCATCTGAAACTCCAATTCCAAGGGATCTGACTCCCTCTTCTGGCCTCTGAGGACACCAGACACTCACATACACACATGAAGGCAAAACTATTTATATACATATAAATAAATCTGGCAGAGGCAGGCAGATCTCTGTGAGTTCAAGGCCAGCTTGGTCTACAGAGTCAGTTCCAGGACAGCCAGAAAAACCCATCTCAAAAACCAAAAATAAATACATAAATATAAATAAATATAATTTTAAAAGAATGGATATTGAAATGTACTGTATATACACAATGGGATTTTGTGTGTGTGTGTGTGTGTGTGTGTGTGTGTGTGTGTGTGTATGTGTATGTGTGTGTGGTATCATGTGTGCACAGACTACCCTGTGCATGTGTATTTGTGTACACCAATGGTAAATGTTGGATGTCTCTTCTCGCTCTCCTTTTTTATTTTTTGAGATGGTCTCTCTCGAATCTGAAAAGTTCACCTCCAATAGCTGGCTGAGAAGCAAGACCTTGGGATCCTCCTGCCTCTGCCCCCCAGCACTGGAGCTATAGGCACATGTCTGTGCTGTCATGTCTGGCTTTTTACAGGGCTGCTTGGGATCATGTTTACATAGTAAACGCTACTCAGTGAGCCATCCCATCCCCAGCCCTACACAACAGAATTTTATTCCATTGTATAGAATTATAGAATCATGAAATTTGCAGGCAAATGGGTAGATCCAGAAAGTATTATATTAAGTAAAATAACCCAGACTCAGGAAAACATTTCATGTTCTCTCTTACATGTGGATCATGTATACATATATTTTATGAAACTAGTAAGGAGACTGCAAGAAGGGAAAAGGAGGCATTGAGGAATCAAAGTGGCAATAGGACATAAGTGACATGGGAGCAGAAAGGGGATGGGGTGAAAGGCCGTATCAGGAGGACTAGTGAGAAGATAGGGGAGTAAAATCAACAAAATACATTTCATGTGAAATGCTATCATGAAACCAAATGCTATGTATAATAATTTATTTTTTTGTTGTTTTTTGAAACAGGGTTTCTCTGTGTAACAGCCCTAGCTGTCCTAGAACTAGCTCTGTAGCACAGGTTGGCTTTGAACTCACAGGGATCCCCCTGCCTCTGCCTCCTGAGTGTCCGGATTAATGGCATGTGCCACCACCACTCAGCAATAATTTAATTTTTTTTTTGAGACAGGGTTTCTTTGTGTAGCTTTGGCTGTCCTGGAACTTACTCTGTAGACCAAGCTGACCTCGAACTCACAGAGATCCATCTGCCTCTGCCTCTCTGAGTGCTGGGATTAAAGGTGTGCACCATCACTACCTTGCTAATAATTTAATTTTTAAGAAAGAAAAAAGGGAGATATTAATTTGTGTTAAGCCAACAAATATTGGTATGATATGCGGCATATTATTAGATAATGGATAAATATCTGAGTAGGCGATCACAATCTAGTATGCCAAAACTTGGGACACACAAGGTCGTAAGAAGAGGAAGATAATCTTTGAAGACTTTTTGGAGGAGATAGTATTTCAGCAAGATGTTGAGGGACAAATGGAAATTTGTGGGGTGAAAGGCTTCTGTCAAAAGCAACTTGTCTACAGAGAGGGAAGGAAGAGAAGGCATGTTCAGGGAGTAGGCAGCGTTAGTTCAGTAAGTTGAGGCATTGTGGAAGGGAGTATCAAGAATAGAACTAAGAATACAAGTTGGATGCAAATCACAGAATGTTGATGCTATTCAAGGAGCTTGAACATAAGCTTATAAACTGCTTAATCTGATTGGTCATTTAAGAAGGTACTTGGAAATCCTCCAATTTGAGAGGCGGAGGCAAAGGATCGCATTGAGTGTGAGCCAGTTTGAGTTACACTACGAGGCTCTGTACCAACATACACCCCCCCAAAAAAATCTGAAATGTTTGTATATAGTAGCACATAGCTGTAATACTAGCACTTGGAAGCAGAGGTAGGAGAATCACTGTGAATTTGGGACCAGACTGGACAACATGGTGAGAATCTACCTCAAAATAGAGAAGGCTGTTTTGAGTCTAGAATTGGGTAGAAGTCTGAGGGGTACCCAATGTGCTCTAGAGGTTCCCATACATCCCTAAGTCAGTTGCAAGTAAATACCAGAGAGGAAGGTGTGGGCACATTCCTTTAGGCAAGAGGCTTTCCACATTTCCAGAGAATAAAAGGAACACATTTTGAGGAAAGGAATGGGGTCAGGGAGCCAGTTGGTGCTTGGTGGTCCTTTTTCCCTCTTTAGCAGGTGTTGAGGCTGAAATGAGCAGAGGGGGGAAGCTGGGAACTCTGAGGGTGGGCCTTTCTCTGCCTATCCTTTGGAAGGGAACTCTGTGGAACAGAGTTTTATCTCCTTACACCAAAAGTCCCTTGAGTCAGGTAATGTTTCCACCTCCAGCCTGGCTGTCTTATTAGTGTAGTGTCCAGGGCTGACTGGGTGTCTCTCTCATCAGTTAAGAGCTCTTCCAGAGGACCCAAGTCATGTCAGACTTCTCACAACCACCTGTAACGCCACTTGTAGGGGAGTCAATGCCTCCATGGGCATCTACACTATCTGTTATCTACACACACACACACACACACACACACACACACACACACACACACACACACACACACACACACACACCACACACACACCAAAACAGCATTCACGGATGCATAAATTTCTCCCCAGCCAGCCATGGCACTTTGGACTATGCATTTTATTTTAATGAATTATTTATTCTTTTGATTTTTTGAGACAGGGTTTCTCTGTAGCTTTGGAGCCTGTCCTGGAACTTGCTTTGTAGGATGGACACAAACTTAGAGATCTGCCTCTCTTTGCCTCCTGAGTGCTGGGATTAAAGGCGTGCACCACTGCCTGGTCTTATTTTGTAAATAATTTTAAAATGTTTATTATTCATCTTTATGTGTATGGGTGTTTTACCTGTATATGTATGTATGTGCATCATGTGTGTGTGTGGTGCCCACAGAGGCCGGAGAAGATGTTGGATCCCTTGGGACTGGAATTTTAGATGGTTGTGAGCCCAGGGTCCTCTGGAAGAGCAGTCAGTGCTATATATTTTTTTTTTAAGATTTTATTTATTTATTATGTATACAGTACTTTGTCTGTATGTCTGCCTGCAGGACAGAAGAGGGCACCAGATCTCATTACTTATGGTTGTGAGCCACCATATAGTTGCTAGGAATTGAACTCAGGACCTTTGGAAGAGCAGCCAATGCTGAGCCATTTCTCCAGCCCAGTGCTATGCATTTTTAACCCCACACTGAGGAGATGCCAGGGGGGTGGGGTCTAGCCTACACTTAGACCTAGAAATTTTCGTCTTCTTTTTCTAAATGGTGCTGGGATTGCTCCATGCTAGGCAAATAATCTATCCGGGAGTCACACCCCCAGCCCCTAGCTGTACTTGGTACTCCACCCTGAAGGTTTGGTGTCCTGATGCCAGGCTGCCAGATGGGAGGAAAGGGTTCCTGAGGAACCCAGCTGAGGTTCCCTGGATGCTGACGGGGACCCTGGCTATCCACCCAGGTTACCAGCACCTACTGCTCTGCCTTTTCAGAGTCTTTTTCCTTTCCAAACTGGGACTCCCTGGAAAGTCCTGCTGCCATTTAAACAAATGGTCCTTGGAGCAGGATCTTGTTTTCTGCCATCTGAGTGGGTCCTCAAAAGCAGGGCTCCATCTCCCAGACCCAGGCTCCTGGAGGAAGGTCTTTCTCCTTTCTACCTCAGAGAAAGCCTGTTAAAAGGTACACACCCTTGGGTCCCCTGCCTGCGCTCATCTTTTAGGACTCATTTCCTTCCTATTTGACTATGACACCCACAGACAGTATCTGCCTGCTTCTCCCTGGGCCTGATATTGAGGTTTGGCAGGAATACATGCTTACTTGGCTCCAGGGGTCTAGCTTTTGGGATCAGAAATCCCCAATAATTCTGGGCTACACTCCTAAAGCCCTCTCATAAGACAAGAATTCTATAAGCCACTCCCCGATGGACAGAATCCTTCAAAAGTGCTCAGAACCAGCAGAGCCCCAAAGAACATGGCATCTCACCCCAAAATCCATCTGCTTAATAAGGCTGGTTCTCTGACACCTGTGCTTTCTTAAGTTCACTTGGGGCACCGGTCACAAAGGGCACCAAACACAGCTCCAGCCCCATCAGGAGGAGCTAGCACCATGCATGGGTTTGAATCTCTCACCCAGGTGAGATTCTTCCTGGCCTCCTGTCACACCCTCCTCACCTGGTATCTGTCTGAGTGGTGCAGGTCATCGGTGGCAGAAGAGTGTGGTGATGCCGTTGGAGAGTCTCCTTCCCTCTTGATGGAAGCAGACAACAGGAGGGACTGGAAGAAGAAAAGGACACATGGCCCCAGGCCAAGTGAGACCAACATTCATAGCCCAGGAGCTCTCAGTTCTATGGGAGTTTTAGAAGTGAGACAAGGGAGGGTGCAGGGACAGAGGACTGTGAAAATCTGAAGTGACATGGCCAAGCATGGAAGTCCAGTTGTGTGACAGGATGGTTGGTTTTAGTTCTACACATAGACCCTTGCTTGTTGATTTTGTTTGAGACACTGCCTCACTCTTAGCGCAGGCTAGCCTGGAACTCTCAGTGAGCCTCCCTCCTATCAGGGCCTCCCAAGTGCTGTGGTTACAGGCACGCGCCATAGCACTCGCTAGAACCTTGTTCCTGTTAAGCTCTACCTCAGTGAGGAAGGATCGCCGATCCACTCTCAGCAGACCTGACTGGATGTGCTTTGTTCTTCCTTCCAGAGCAGAGATTCTGGGACCCAAGTGAAGGGTTGGGGGTAAACCACATACCTGCCACCTTGCCTGCCCCTAATACAGGCTGATGGCAGCCCCACTATGGAGACAGTAAATTAAATAGTATGTATGAGTTTCCAGCATGTAGCTAGGGATGTACGCTGGGTCCATTTAGCCCTGCGCTGTGGCAATGACCCCAGCAAAACCCCCAGCAAAACTAATCCCCCTCCGTCAATCCCGGATGGCCTCTTCTACATACGCCTGCAGTTTAGATTAATAAACTGTCTGCTTTAAATTGTGTGCGAGCACCACAATTCTAAATACCACATGGCATGTTCAGCCCAAGAGCCAGCTCTTGCCAAGGCCTGTGTGGCTGCAAAGGGGTGGTGGGGCGGGGGGAGGGGGGGTAAGGAGCTCAGAGCCCTGAAAACAATCCATACCCCCTCCCTTCTTCAGCTTGCACAGCTCTGAGCAGGAAGCACACAATTCCCTACAAGTCCTCCCCAGCCTCGAAAACCATGCCAAATCACCAGTGACAGCCCAAAGAAAGCAATTTGGGGAAGATGGAGCGGCCATTTATCCTTCATCTCTGACTGAACCTTAGGATGTGACCCGCATGCGGTGGCCATGCTATACATCCTCGGCCAAGGGGCTAGAAGTGAGGGGGTCTGGTCCCAGCTGCTGATGTGCCAGGCTGTCCTGATGGCCCAGGGGCTAGAGGAGGGAGGAGGCTTCAGAGGGCCTGAGATAGGATTGCCTCCAAATGGGACTTCTTCACCTATAAGCCTGATGGGAGGCCTGGTGGGTGACAGCCCCAGCCAGAAAGATGTCAGGCAATGTTCTTCTCTGATCCCAAGTAGGATGTTGAGGAGAGAGAACCGAGCGTCATAGTGTGTGGGGCTCCCAACAGTAACAAAGCTCTCTTCTATCTCTGTCTCTCTCTTGGTTAGAAGCCCTGAGAGGCCTCAGTATTACACCTGGGGCAAGCGGAATAAAAAAAGGTCACTGGCGCTTTTTAAACATGGACCAAAAAGCAGTAAAATGTGTTTTGAAAAAAAAATCCTGGCACTAAATCATGACTTTTTGCCTGGCTCTTCGCCTCATTAAAAGTGGCCTTTTGGAAGGTAAAATTATCATTGTAAGCGATAAGATCTTTAAGAAAATAATTCACGGCTTCTTCACCCTTTAATATGATAGCCGCCACCGGCTAATTTTTTTCTTAATGGCAACGAGGCCATCAATCTTGTCTAAGGGCCCCTCGCCCTCTCCTCCTTCTCCTCCCTCTCTCCCTCCCTCCCTCCCTCCCTCCCTTCCTGCCCTCTCAGATATTCACTTCACCTTCTGCTTTCTACCTCTTTCTCCTGTGACTTGCTTCCTAAAGCTGAGGTCAAGACCAAGGAGAAGTCAGCGGTTGATCAGATTTGGGGAGTTAATCTGGGCAATGAATGGTCCCTTTTTCTGCATCTAATGATCAGTATGCCAGTGTCCCAGGTTGCAGGAAAGTGTCTGTGCTTAAGACTTCCTGGACACACATTCTGATCTATGGGTCACATAGGTGAGAGGTTAAGTATGGATGAAGAGTGTGTCTGGCAGGGCCACTCCTGAGAACACAAGCCCTTCTGGTTTCCAGTGTCTTGGCCCTGTCACTCACACTCAGGTAGTGGCTGAAGTAGAAGCTTGGCCATGACCTTTAGTTATGTCACCCTTAAACGTGGCAGTGTGGGCCAAGCAAGGACTGTGTGGCTTCTTGCTTCCTCCAGTCCACAGCTGTCTGATTCCCCTATCCCTTTCTATTCTAGGCCTTAGCCCAGGGGGTCTGCACCAATCGGGACTATCTGTTCCTCTTTCTGCAGTTGGCTGTGGCTTAGTGAGTTTGGAATGAGGGTGAATAGTCAGTCTACCTCCTCTCCTTCCAAAGGCCCAAGGGATGGTTGGCCAAAGTCGTGAAGGTGATACTTGTCACTCACTGGCTCCTTTTCCCAAAATTACCCTCTCAGAGGTCACTGGTGACTTTAGGCCTTTCAAATATATGGACCACTTCATGCCTCTTTCCCTACTGGAGCCCTGACCACCCAGGCATTTTGAAACTGTTTATCTTCAGGGAAGTGGGAGACATGCTCTCCTGGGACCCTCCTAATGCCCTCACTTTATCTTGACCAGAAGTACAGGGGTCCCTGAGGGCTTTTTCTTGGCATTTGTTCTTATCTTGTGCACACTCCCACTCACTGAATAAGTCCATTTCCAAGGTTCAGCACCTACTTCTCAGTTACCATGACACACACAGGTGAACAGTGTGAGAACTTCAGAGAAAGAGGGCAGCCTCCCACAGAGGGATGAGGCCAGGTATTCAGTGAGCACCGCTTCCTCTCCAGGTCTCCATTCCCTCACAATCATCACTTTGGGGAAACAGTACCACCTGCTTCTTATGGGCACTCATGCCAGTGGGCCAAGAGGAGATACTTGCTCTTCATTCTTCTCCATCTCATGCACTCAAGTTTCTTTCACAGTTTCTGTTCAGAGGGACCAACTCTTTCCTCAGATGGACCCATCATTTTTTCTGTTTTTTTTTATAATGTATGTATGCGTATACATACATGCTCACAAACACACACACACACAGAGGAGGGGGGAGGTGAGGGGGGGAGAGAGATCTGACTTCTACCTATACTGAATTTCTCAACTTTCCTTCAATGGTTACAGTTCAGCTTCCTCAGAGTCTCCCCAGCTTTAGTGTCTTTGTTGCCTACATCCCAGCCCACTTTTGACTCTTACCCCTCTCCTAGCTAGGAAAAGAGAAAGTTGGAAAATCTTCTACACAGATGGATTCTGCAACCCCAGCCACACCCTAACACACCTAGGCATCAGGTTGACATTCAAATGCTGGAGACAATTTGGAATCCATGGGGAATGCCTTTCTCTCAGGAGGAGACACATCTTGGAAGGCCTAGGTTGGAATGAGCAGGATGGAAAACATAATTGACCACCTACCTTGGGGGTGCCTGGAGCCATGGCATCCTTCAGAAGGGAATTTTTGCTGCCAAGAAAGAAGAGAACAGGGTGACCATTCCACCAGGTGCCCAGGTCATGTCAACAAGGGTAGATTAACAAGATAATCCCAAGAGAAGGCATTGCAAGCATGGCATAGTCCAGACAGCTAAGCCTAGCTCCACCCTGTACACTCAACCCAGTGGCATAGGACCTAGCTCTGCTTCTGCCAGGTGCCAAGAACCATGCTGGCCCCTGGGAGGGGACACAGTCACCAGGCAGAGTATTGGAATACAGGGGCTTTACCTAGGATCAGCCTTGAAGATTTTATCTGTCCTGGAGGCTCCCTCCTCACCACTCCCCATTCTTGGCCTGCTCTTAGTTCCTATGGGATTGGGGTGATGGGGCTGACATGACTCTTGTCAATTCTTCCTCCAACACGCTGCAAACTGTGTTAGGCTAGAAATGATCTCCCCTGATTCAATTTGTCAGCCCCAGGCCCTCCGGCATCGGGCAGCAGGCAGGAGGGAGCTGGGCCCTGAAATATGGTGGGCAGTTCAGAGCAGGCGGGGGCTGGGGTGGGAGGTGATGGATGGGTTGTGGGGGAGGCAAGGACTGTGTTTAATAACAAAATTGGTATGCAAGGCCACATCCCACGCTAAGCATGAGTGATCCAGAGCCACAGAGTATTACAAATCCCGCTAAACAGATGCTGACAATGGAACAAGACGTATCAAATCAGATCCACTTCAGAAACATTAATATCCCTGTTCCTGTCCCTTCCTGGCTACTGCCCCCACTATGCTGCTGCATTGTGCTCACACACTGGCGTGCATGCATGCACAAGCACACATGCGCACACACAAATACATACAGAGGAGTTATTGATACATGCACAGAGACAGACATAGCCCATTTTTATAGGCTTTCCGCACAGACACACATACAAAGTACAAATGTAGAGTACATCGTCAGACACAGCCAGAAAGCATGAAAGCCACAGATACACTGAAAGCAGAACACAGGGGCATGTGTGGACTCAGTGAGTGTATACAGAAGGAACACCTACAGATGTATTCGGGTACCCATTAGGCCAAACAGAGAAATACATGATGTGTAAGCAAAAGAATAGGCAGAAATGGCTAAAGCAGTGAGTGACTTTCAGTGGAATGAGGGATGTGTGCCCACCCAGGGGACACTTGCAATATCTACTGTATGCTAGACAAATGCTCTACCACTGTGCTACGTTCTAAGTCCCTGGAGATAGTTTTGATTGATTTCTGACTGTTGAAACTTGGGTGTGGAAAGGGGGTTGCTACTGGCATCTAGTGGGTAGATGGTGTTTAACAATCTATACTATTCCAGACAGCCCCTCACAAAGAATTATCGGACCCAAAATGTCAATAGTGCTCAGGTTGAGAAGCCCTGGTCTCAAGGCAGATACACAGACTATCATTCTACCAACAGGCACATAGATGCAGGCAGTCACACTCGGAGACTCAGACATGCATACAGATGCACAAGGCCACAGGGTCACTCCCAGAGACATGGCCATAAAGGCAAATTCACAACAGCCATGCAGACTGGATAAAGAGCTGCTCATATACAAAAGTCCACATAAACACATGCAGAAATGGAGACAGCTATAAAGCACTGGCATACTTAGGCACATGCATATCTACAGATATAGACACTTAGGGGAACACACACACACACACACACACACACACACACACACACACACACACACACACACGACAGTGCAGAGGCCACCAATCACCACAGCAGTAGAAGACCTCTAATCTGGTAGCAGATTAGAGCTACCAGTCTGTTCACACATTAGGAAAAACACAGAATAGGAAGGACCGCCAGTAAGGGTTCTATTCAATTACAGGTGTTCCTTGTTGGTCTTTGCCTGGCCAAAATGGGCATACAGAAGAGAATCTGGGATGCCCTTGAGGAGTAACCAGCTTGTTAGTTCACAACTTTTATCATTTCTTAACGTCTTCACTCATTCAGCAAACAAATAACAACATCACTACTCTGCCTACAAAGAGAGTTATCTGCTATCCACACTGTTGTCATACTTGACCCTAGACTGGCTGTTATCTATTGTGGCTGTATTTAGTGAGATCAGAAAATGAAGGAATAAAAAATTACTGTGTATCCATTGTATATGACAGAGACAGACTTTGTATGTGCAATTTCACTGAATTTCTACCAAAACTTTACAAAGCTGACACCCCTGTGTCATTCAGTCCATGGAGGGCTTGGAACTTAGGCTCCAGTGCAGAACACTGAATTTCTTTTCGTCTCTGCTTGCTGTGCAACTTTGGGCAGGGTCTTGCTGATCCTGTGCTCATTTACTTTGCTGGTAAGTAGAATTGTGTCATTCAGGGTCAGGATGACAATCTGTTCTCTGGCAAGCCCATCTTTCCATTTTTCTTAGCAAAGCTCTTGTCTTTGCTTGCACATAGCCACTTCGGCCTCAGACTCCTCTTGCTCTGAGCAAGAGCGCTCACGTCCCCTTCCCTTCTATCAACCCCTTCAGCTCCAAGTTTTCTTGGTTTCAGGAGAGACTGGTGAGTGGCTTGACTTGGGGGAGAGAGGTCTAAGTCCTGAGCTGTAAGCAGCCTGGCTCCTGCCCAGACCATCAGTTCTGCCTTCTGTCCCTCCTGTTTCTACAGCCCGCCCCCAACAATTTCCCTCCTTGCTCAGTCACTCGCTGCCTAGTGATCCATGGGTTTTAAATTATAACTGGGACCCAGGAAACGCGTTCCTAAGTACAATATTCATGGGCTGGGCTGACACTTTTAATTAAGGTGATTTACACTGAATTATCCTTGGAAATAAAGAAATGGTGCACTGCCCGGGAATAAACCATCATCACCAGCCGCCTTTGTAAGTTACACTTCGTTTTAATCTATTTGGGGAATTGTTTATCTAGTTCATTACCCAACCAAACACCGAGGCCGGCCTTAAATAAGGCTTAAGTAGGGGTGGGGGCACTGCCATCTCTACACCCCGCCTCTCCTTCAGAGCTACCCAGTCTCCCTTTAGATTTTTTTCAGCCTTTTAAAGTCCTTCCCAGAGGAGGCTGCTTCCCAGCCCATAGCCCAGCACTCATAAGGATCTCTGCGCTCAGGTCCCACCAGCCAAGCCTCACTTTCAGTTCTGTGAATGGTCCATGTGCAAGGCTGTTTCTTCTTAATGGGTGGGAACTCCTGTCTAGGGCCCACAGAGGGTCTCAGAGCCAGTCCTTTCATCTGCCCTGCAATCTCCAGCCCCCATGCACGTCCTTGTCTGTCTCTCTGTACATACATATCTAGTACCTAGCCCAGCACCATCCCAGAGGCATCTCTGTCTCAGCTTACCCAGAGTCCAACCTGTTGCTTCCTCTTTCTGATTGTGGACATTACCTTTACCACATTCCCAACCATCTAAATCAGAATGTCTTCTAGTTAAGTACACAAGTACACTCTTGGCTTGTCCTTCCTCCGTCCTCTTTTCTGCTTGCCCCACTTACGGCTATTGTCCTAGGGCAGCCTCATCAATCATCTCCTGGATCCCTGATTTGCCCTCCCCACCCGGTTTGTGCCCCAGCCCACTCTCCATACTGGCACACGATGTCCCATTAACATGTGGGACATCCTCCTGCATGGAAGGTCCTCCCGACTCTGTCCTTGACCCAATATTGCTCTCTTTGTTCTAAGTAGCCAAGTCCTTGCATCTAAGGGAACCCTTGTGAAGGTTCTAGAAGGGGAAGGACAGAATCAGGTGAGGTGAAGGAGGTGTGTGGCTGTAGCCTAGTGTTGAGCAGGTGGGAACTTTGACTGCTCTTCCTGTGGGGACTTGTTTGCTCATGGCACCTGGGAATGTTCATCTCCGGGAAGGTGGCTCTTTCAGGATGTGTGTGTGTACATTGAACTGTGTGGCAATGAACTGTGTGTGTGTGTGTGTGTGTGTGTGTGTGTGTGTATGTGTGCGCGCGCGCATGCATGCATGCATGTGTGTCAAGCCCGTGTTTGTGAACCCAGCCTCCTTGGCTTAAGAACTGGAAGGTCCTTGCTTCTTTTGTGAGCCCCCAGGTATGTAGACTAACATAGGGCATGCTCTAGGTTGTTGCTCAGTTGAAGACAGAAGACAGAAGAGGTCCACCTGGAAAGTTCCAGAAGCAGAACCTCCTGAGAAGTTAGCTGGCAGCAGCACCCACAGGCTCAGATGGGCTAGGCTGAAGAAGGAACAGAGAGGGCAAAGGAGAGCAAGGCAGGGTAACAGGATAAAAGCGGGGCAGGTTGAGAGAACAAGAGAGGAAACCAAGGGAGAGGAGTCAAAAGAAGGCGGGAACAAGGCCAGGAGGAAGCCAGAGGGCTGGAGAGCTGGCCACAGGTCGCGAATGGGGGAGGCCCACATTTCGGGCTTCTGCCTCTTGTGGAACTCAGTTTCCCCATCCATAAACCCGTCCATCTGTTTAGGGTACTGATGGTGGGGAGAAGGAAGGTGGATGGGATGGATCTCAAGAGTCCAGGTGCTCTGTCTTTTCCCAACCTCCTTTGCCCCTCCTCCGGCTCGCCCCAGAACCAGCAGGAGGTGGGGCAAGGGCAGCAAGGCTGGGGGACCCTCCTCCCGCGCTGCCCGTCAGCCCGGAGGGAGCTGACACGCTCCTTGGGAATTTATCACGCACCCAATTACAATGTTAATTGGCAAGTTCCTGAAATCAATTAATTCGCAAATTTTTTCCAATTAAAAATCCAGATAAATCACAAGGGCGCGATCCGACGGGAATTTCACTTGCTGTGCAGATCCCGCTGTCCGGCTGTCAGACACCCGGTGGGGAGGAGGGCGTGCCAGGGGCGCAGGGCGTGCACGTGCTGAGGGCGGCGTGGGCATTGGGGGGTGCAGGGATAGGCCAGGACGTGAGCCGACAGCCGCGAGGTGTGGGTGCTCTGAGAATCGTGGTTGATGAGCGATTTATGCGGGGTCACGAGCAGGGATAGAACGAGAAGGGAGTGAGAGATGCCCTGGGCGTTGCGGGCTTGGGGGGCACTAGTTGAGGAGGCGATAAAAGCTGCCCAAATGGGCTCTGCGGGGTCTTCTCTTTTCTGTTCTTGGTTGAGGACTCCTTCATTGGAAGCATGTTACCCAGAACTCACGGGACAGCCTGCCGGAAGTTTCACTTTCTGCCGGTGGCAGGTCAATCCCAGGTGTGTGAGTGATGGGGGAAGGGGGGGGCGAAGAGCAGGGCACTGGTGTCAAGACTGCCTGAGAACAAATCTTATCTTTACTGCTAAGTGGGCAACCTTAGAGAAGTCACTCAACATGTTTGTGTCTCAGTTTCCTCATCTGTAAAACGGGAGTCATATCTATAGTCACACACCACAATTAGCAACAGGCTGGCTACACATCTGAAAGTGGTCCCATGAGGTTACATTGCCTAATGATAGTGTAATTTGTGTAAGTACAATCTATGATGCTCACATGACAAAAAATAAGTCTCAGGATGCATTTCTCTGAACATATACCCATCATTAAGCAATGTGTGACTGTATCACCTACCTCAGAGTGAGGAATAAATAAAGCGCTTGCCAGATAGTGAATGTTCCATGAGGTTCATTTATTACTACCATAGTATAGCTTCTGAGGGGCTTATAAAGTGTGCCCACAGATTCTTTTGATACTTTTGTCTTATAGAATGAGAGCTTTTACAGCATAATGCTTCTCCCTAGTATGGGGCTGGGCTGGGCTGGGTTGGAGGGATGGATGGTTCAGCTGTTAAAGGTGAGGCTTATGGGCTGAGCTTGGTGATTCATTGCCTGCCTGCCTGCCTGCCTACCTTCCTCCCTCCCTCCCTTGTTCCTCTCTCCATCCATTCCTTCCTGCCTCTTTCCCTCTCTGCCTTTCTTTCTAGAGATACAGTAGTTTCACTATGTAGCTCAGGGTGGCCTCAAATTCCAGGTACTCCTGCCTGGGTCTCTGGAATTACTGCCTGACCTGGGGATAGAATAGTCTAGTGTGGATTTGGTAGTGCGTAGGTAGACTTTTGGGGAAGGCATTGTGGCTTCCCTTGGTCTCTTTCTTAGATCACATGCTGTGGCCAGTCAGTTGCCTTGTTGGAGGGAAACTCAAGGCAGCCTTTGGAGAGATGCTGAGGAGTTGACATTTCCTGCTGACAGCCCCTAGAAGTGAGCCATCTTGGAAACATCCTGAAATCCTAGTCAGACCTTCAGGTGACTGTAGCTTTGAGTGATTTTTCACTTTAGCCTCAGGAGAGAGCCAGAGCTAGTGGCCATTGCTAGCCATGATCACATAACTATGCTGTTCTGGAGCTGATGACTCACAGAAACTGAGACTTTTTTTTTTCTTTTTGGAGACAGGGTTCTCTGTAGATTTGGAGCTGGTCCTGGAACTCGCTCTGTAGACCAGGCTGGCCTGGAAATTACAGAGATCTGCCTGCCTCTGCCTCCCGAGTTCTGGGATTAAAGGCCGCCGCCACCACCACCACCTGGCTAATTTGTGTGTGTGTGTGTATATATATATAGGTTAGAGGGCAACTTTTGGAGTTAGTTTATCACCTTCTACCTTCCCTAGGTACTAGGAGGGGGTGGAGCTTGTGTGGCAAAAGCCTTTACCTGCTGTGCCTTCTCACCGGTCCTAATAAAAGTCTTAAACCATTAAGTTTTGGGGTAAACTATAACAGCCAGTAATAGGTGACTAGTACTCTCCCTTCCAAACCCCTCTCACCCCCCACCCCCACCCCAGGGCTTGTTTCATCACCTTCCTCAATCCTTTCTCACTCTGAGCTTCCCAGGACAGAGGCCATCATTCAGGTCTAATGACTTGAAATGACTACAGGGAAAGAATGGAGTAGGCAGTTCTCAGTGTGTCTCGCACCATGGTTCCTAAGGATGGCAGAAGTCTAGCTCCACCCCATCTGCTCTTTTCTGATCTGGCCACTTCCCAAATCAGAAGGGGATACATGTCCTCTCACCTTGAATCTGAGTGGTTTCACAATGCCTTGACCAACAGAGTACTTGAGGTGACATTAAATGACCTCCAAGGCTCAGTTTGAAAAGGTGACCCAGGCTCAGATGTAGCTCAGTGGTAGAGAAAGGCTCTGAGTTTGATTTTTAGCACAACCCTCACACTTCAGTGCTCCATCTGGCTGACCAGAACATTTTGTTTTGGAGTCCTAAGCTGCTATGTAAGAAGTCAAAGTACCCCAAGGCTACCAAGTGATGGGGAGGCCCAGGCCACGTAGAGGAAACACATGCAAGATGCTTTTGGACATCTGCTGTTCTAGATGACAGCCAGAGTCTATCACCAGACATGTGAGTGAAGAACTTCTAGACCATCCCAGCTGCCGGTTGAACATCCAACATCTGGAGTAGGCACAGCTGACCCCTCTGTGCCCTGCCTGAATTCCTGACCCCAAAGATTGTTTGGACAAAATGGAACGGTTGCTTCATACTGCTCAGATTAGAGGTAATTAGTTACTTCCTCATCTGCCGCCCCTGGATAATCTGGCTCCTCCCCAGCCACCTTGCGAAGGTTCAGCCCACACCTTCAGGCAAGGATGGAGGAGAGCTGGAGAGCTGGGAGTGAGCTAGGGTGAGGACACACTTGCTCACGTTCCCAAGATCGTTACCTCTCAGTCCTTGAGATTTGTGGAGACAGTGCTGCTTTGTCCCCTGAATAACAGGGCCAGGCTGGACTTCTGAGAGAGCTGCCAGACTCTGTACCTGTTTTTATCCTGCCCCAAGGTCCCACACAGTAGTTCTGGGCTTGTCCAAGTGGCTGGCTTCCAGTCTAGTTTCCCTCAGATGATGGAATCTGAGGAGTCACTTTCCTCAACCCTGGTCCCCACCTCCACCCCCAAATAAAGCAAGAAGAAAAACAAATGAACACACAGAAGGGCCACACAGGGCCTGGCTTCTCCCCAGAGGCTCATGAGAGACCTAGCAGCTAGCAGAGTGGAATCCCCCAGCAGACAGACTCCCTGTGGTGGCTTACCCGGCAGGCAGTTGGGCCAGCTGCTCCAGCTCCTGCTCCATATGCTCCTGCAACTCGCTGGGCCTCAACAGGACTTGGCAGATGGGGCAGATCGGGGCTTGGCTGTCAAACAACGCTACTGCTTTCTTCTTACCTGGCCAGGGAAAGAGAACAGACACTTAGAGCAGAGCTAGTCTCTAGAAGGAAATCCAGACTCCTGGGCCTTCCGCCCAAGCCTACGGTTGCCTTCTAGAGATTCTGGACCTAGAAGAGGGGTGAGGTGTATATTGGTAACTTCAGAGGCCATGACCATGACTGATACCTTCTCAGCTGGCTGCTCCTCCTGGAAATCTATTGGGACACAATCAATGCTCTATGCAAACAAACTTTGATCACTCCATTTCACACATGTTTAATCATACCATCACCCAGAATGTCCAGCGCTCCTTGTCTCTCTCCTTGTCTCATTGCTTTCATATTCCCAGGTTTAGAGAAGGAAGAAAAGAGAAAGGAGGCTTCATTCCTGTGGTCATTAAGCAAACATTCCCTCATTTTTTTTTCTTTTTTGGTTTTTCAGACAGGGTTTTTCAGTGTAACAGCCTTGGCTGTCCTGGAACTCTGTAGACCAGGCTGGCCTCAAACTCACAGGGATCCGCCAGCCTCTGTCTCCCAAGTGCTGGGGGTAAAGGTGTGTGTCATCATGTCCAGCCCTTCTCTCGGTTTTTTTGTTTCGTTTTGTTTTGTTGTTTTTTTCCTGACCCAGAACCAGTGCAAGGTGGTGTTGGAGGGGGATAGGGGAGAGATGAGGGGAGGGAATAGGGGTTGTCCCCAGCATGGAATCCATTTTCTCTCCTCTCTCCACTTTCCCCCAAGGTTCTGTCTTCAGCTTCTGTCCTCTTCATTCTGAGTGTTGGATGAGCTTGTTTGTCCTCTGGTCCTAACTCCTGCCAACTCCTGTTGACTGCATTCGTTGTACTCTACCTGGCTTGCCTCTGTGCTGCTTTTATCCAAATGTCTAGTGGACACCAACACCTGAATGTCTCCTAAGAATTTAAAACTCAACTCAAATTTGAGGTCTTCTGCCACTCCTTACAAACCTGGTACTCCTGCCGGGCAGTGGTGACTTATGCCTTTAAACCCAGCACTTGGGAGGCAGAGGCAGGCAAATCTTTGAGTTCACGGCCAGCCTGGTCTACAGAGTTCAAGGATAGCCCAGGTTATACAGAGAAACTGTCTCAAAATAAATAATATTTTTATGTATGTATTTATGTATGAGTGTGTGTATGTGTGTACCAGGTTGTACGGGTGGAGGTTGAAGGACACTTTAGAAATTCTACTTTTTGAGGCAAAGTCTTTAAAGTGTCTTTATAAATTGTACCTTTTTAAATTTTATTTTATTAAAGATTATTAGATGTTTGAATGCTTTCACATGTATGTATGTGCACTACATGAGTTTCTAGTGCCCACCAAGGTCAAAAAGTGTTGGATCCTCTGGAACTGGAGTTAGAGATCTTCTTTAATTTTTTTAAAAATTATCTGCTTTGGTGTTTTGCCATGGATGTTGGGTCTCCTGGAACTGCAGTTACAGACAATAGTGAGCTGCCATATGGGTGCTGGGAATTGAACCCAGGTCCTCTGGAAGAACAATCCGTGTTTTTAATCACTGAACCATCTCTCCAGCCCCTAGAGATGATTTTTAAGCTGCTGTGTGGGTGCTGGGAATTGAACCTGGGTCCTTTGCAAGATCAACAAGTGTTCTTAACCTCTGAGCCATCTCTCCAGCCCCAAGGGTCTCTCTTGTTTCTACTGTGCTGTGTATTCCAGCCTATCTGGTTCCAAGTAATTCTTTTGTCTCTCCCATCTTGCTGAAGGCATGCTGGGATTGCAGATGTGAGCCACTGTATTTTTACATGTGTTCCAGGGACTGAACGCAGATCATCAGGCTTGTACATTTACCCGAAGAGAAATCTCCCTGACCCTTCTTGTATACTCTTGAAATTCACATTCTCTCATTGAGGTCTCACTACTTAATTTTTTTTTTTTTGAGATTTTATTCGTTTCTATTGTGTGTATCAGTGTTAACCTTGATGCATGCCAGCACTATGTGTGTGCAGTTTCCTCAGAAGCCAGAAGAGGTCATCAGATACCCTGTGACTGGAATTATAGATGGTTTCGGTACTTCTATGTGGGTGCTGGGAATTGAACTTGCCTTGCTGAGCCAACTATCCAGTACCAGTGGGTCTCATTACCTCTGCTGGATAATCTCACAGGTCTCTTGTCAATCTCCCTGATTTTGGGTTTTCTCTTCCTAGAATGTCCTTCAAACTGAGTGTGATGGCTCATGCCTGTAATCCCTTAACCTCTCAAGGCAAGAGGACTGCTGTGAGGTTAAGGCCAATCTGCGCTACATAGTGAGTTATGGGCCAGCCTGGGTTACAGAGTGAAACTCTGTCTAAAAAAACCAGCCATGCCAGGTGGTAGTGGCACACACCTTTAATTCCAGCACTTAGGAGGCAGAGGCAAGTGAATCTCGGAGTTCGAAGCCAACCTGGTTTACAGAGCAAGTTCCAGGACAGCCAAGGCCAAACAGAGAATACCTGTCAGGAAAAACCAGAAACAAAACAAACAAACATTTCTCTAACACGTGCTCATGGAAGGCTGGCTGGGAACTGGAACTCTATCTCTCGTCTGGCACTTATAGTGACCAAACCATTCTAGGCAGGCTCCTCTGGCTTGCTTTGTTCATTTTCCTTTGACTCTACAGACCCCTTTCTCCAGGGCTCCCCAGTTTGCTTACAGGCATGGTGTTGAGAAACTCTATCCATTCAGAAATATTACTAGCTTTGACTGGTAATGGAGGCCACGATTGTAGGAAAACAATAGTGTACAGTACTAGAGACAGAACCAGAGCTTTGTATACACTAGGCAAGTGCTCTTCCAATAAACCTCATCCCAGCCCCTGCTGCAAAGACTTCCTTAGCTTGAGTCTCTATGTTCTACCTTGTTCTTCCCTCTGGTACCTGGATAAGGTCACAGTCACTTTCAGACTGATAAAGACCATGTCAGTGATGACTAGGGTACACAGGTGAGTAGGGTTGCCAAATTAAAGAAGGAAGGCTCAGAGAAACTTTATTTTAGATATACAATGAGTTATTGGGAAAAGTATAATTATGTCCCAAATATTGGAAGGGATATATTGATACTAGATATCATTGATTTTTTTCCAAAATTAAGTTTACCTGAATGTCTTATTTTTTATTTGCTATATCTAGCAACACTATGCCTGAGAGACCCCACCCCCACCCCGGGTCAGGTTGAGCATGAGAAAGTACCTACTTCCCTTTGACACAGACTAAGGAGGATTACAGTTTCCTGGATGCCTGGATTGAGTCATCTGCAGGCTCTAAGGACAGAGTAATTCATTATGTGTGTGTGTGTGTGTGTGTGTGTGTGTGTGTGTGTGTGTGTGTGTGTTTTCTAGAGAGTGCGAAACAAAAAGCCTTAACCAAAGCCATGTATGTGAAACATACACTTCACTGAGCTGGGCTATCACTGTGAAAGCTTCCAGTGTGTTGTGATTGGGTAGGAGGGGCTCCAGGCTGTGTGGCTAGGTCTTTAAGGACAGAAAGTAGTCCCACCGTTTGCAGTCCCACTGTGTGCATTGGTAGCTGTTCCTCCAGGGTTTAGGTGATGTGATATGCTGGAAGGCAGTGTTGAGTACAAGAAGCAGATATAGCCCTGCTCTGGGAGGGCTCTGTTCTCAGTTCTGCCTCCTGGGCAACCTCAGAGGTGGGTGAGGACCTAGGAATTCTCCAGCCTACTATTTTCTACAGATTGGGAAACTGAGGCTCAGAATTGGATAGGGACTTTGAGCTTGGATTTTGGTCTCAAGGTTTCATTTATTTATTCAACATGTATAAAGTGATTATTCTATTCTAGTATTATTCTAGAGAAAACTGGAACTCAGAGACAAGTAAAACACAGTCTTGATTTTTAAGGGCTCACAAGTTAGTGGTAAAGCAGTAGAGGAAGCTAGGTAGTATGGACAAGAGCTAGTAGGAAGGCAGGAGCTATGAGGCCACTTTAAGAGGGCTGGAGGGCCGGGTGGTGGTGGTGGTGGTGGTGGTGGTGGTGGTGGTGGTGGTGGTTTGAGGCCAGCCTGCTTCACAGAGCTAGGTCCAGGACAGCTAGGGCTGTTATACAGAGAAACTCTGTCTTGAAGAGAGAGAGAGAGAGAGAGAGAGAGAGAGAGAGAGAGAGAGAGAGAGAGAGGGCGGCAAGGATCCTCGGGAAAGGGGGTGGGTGGATGGGAAGTACAAGACTGAGAAAGGTAACGAGGTTGTTAAACAGATCACCGATGAGGATCTGGGGTGTAAAGGGGAAGTGGCAAATAACAGGCTAGAGAGGGAGAATGTCAGGGACTCAACCCCTTTGGGGCTGGGATACCAAATTCCGTTCTTGGGTTTTCTAGGGTCTGGATCCTGCTCTGCTTCTGGGGTTAGTGGTCAGTATTGTCACACACTTGTTCTCATTCTCTTGCCTTGCTGACGTGAGCTTTTCTCAGCTTGACCTCCATTTCCTTGCTGGGGGCATCCGACCCTTTTCTTGGCCCCCAGCTTTGGGACAAGCCCAGAAGGGATGAGCTGGGGTTAACTTGCAGCATATGCCCTCTCTCTCACCTTCATTTCTCAGAGGTCGGAGTGGCAGGTGTCAGTATGGCCATGCACCACCCCCCTGCTTCCCCTCCCCCTGCTGTGTTCCCTATAATTTTATATTGAGACCTGTGGTCATGACGTGGATTTTACTGCACTAACGACATGGCCTGCCCAGGTTTAATGACAAAATCCATACTCTGGCCCTGGGCCTGCTCCTCGTTTGCATAATTCCCAGAATACAGCTCCCTGAAGCTTTTGACCTGGGCCATTACAGTGGCCATAAAATGGGCCATAAAACCACTGGGGATGGCCAAGAGGAGGGGCCTATGGTCTTGCTGGGGTGGGAATGAAGTCTTCATCCACCCCCCCCCCCACCTGTCCTAGGCTCAAATGGAGTCATCCTCTGGCTCTTCCTTTCCAAGGTTCCTCTAATCTGGGAGTCCATTTCAGGCTAGTGAGAGGTGAGGAACCCTTGGGCAGACCTTCAGAGTTTGTTCAT